TCTGGTTAATCTAAGTCAGAACTGATGGGCTAATTTTATAGAGGTGTATGTTTCTGCTGTCAAGATTTCAGTTTCTATTTTAGTTAATCTTTTCTGATTTCCTTTAACAAAGAGGAAAAAAACCCTTTCTTTTTTTGGTGAAATAACTATAGATTACTGACTCTGCTTATATTCAGGCCCCTCTCCCTGCTTTCCTAGTGCTATCAAGCAATCAAGCATGCTCATAAAAGATACTTTATTATATCTGATATAAATGATCAGATAGCTCTTGTTTCCTGTAAAATAGTACCATTAAAAAACAAGAACTTTTTCTTTTTTTTTTTTTTGGTTGGTTGGTTGGTTTTTTAGGGGGCGTGGCTCTTTTTGTTTTTGTGTTTTTTCTTGTTAGGAATAGGTAATTTATAGGCAGTGTAGGACCAAGTAAGTTCCTCAGTTTATGGCACATGTCTAAGAAAGAAGTAAAACCAGTGGGAGCTCTGATATTCTGTCTCTTGTGCTATGGGCCCTAAAACCACAACCCTGTTCATTTGCAATTATAAGGATAATCTCATTGTTGTCAGGGACATTACTCACATGACTGAATACAGGAAAGTAAGTTATTGAGGTTTCTTCATCACATCTGGGGAAAGAATTCCAGTCTCATGAGGAGCGGCCGAGTAGCTTAATTTTGGGGATGTGACATGCACTACAATCCCGTTAAAGGGATCAGTGACTACATGTTCACACCAGCAAGATTGAAGTGTTCTCCCCTAAATGCAGTTGAGCAGCACTGTATATAAAGCTACACAATCAAGAAAGAACCATGTAGCTGTGATTTTTTGTCCCCACCTGATAATATCCAGAAAATCTCTCAGTACTCAAAGGAAGGTAATAACACAGACTGTCTATGTGATGTTCCTTCACCCTGCCAAATCTGTCCTAGAGAACTAATTATATTAATTTTGTCTTGAGAATTCTGTCTGAGACTGATTAAAATGCCTGAGTTAATACCATTGCAAGGAGAAAAAAAGCTGTAACAGGAGAAGTGCCATGACTACAAATGACAGTGATAAAAAGAATAAGTTGTGGCAAGTATTGGTTAGAAAAAAATAAGGGGAAAAAGATAAGTGCCTCTTCTTGCAGCAAAGTATTCACTGCATTGATATGCTGGATTTAGATAGACAGACCACAATAAAAGGACAAAAAAACAGCTAAAATGAAATAATTTGAACTCCAAAGCCAGACCCTGCACAAAATGAAATACATGCAGACACATAATTTACAAGCCAAAAAATCCACATGTTCAGCTTTGGTGGAGAGATGTTGGGGGTATAGTGAGGCAGGTGCTTATGTCTAGCTAAACATTGCAATCACTGTTTACCTGTTTTTTTCTGTTTTAGTAAGGGCATAGTAGGTAATATCCTTTGTAGTCTTTGCAGACCTGGCCTAAAATATCCAGTGTTACCGCTACAATGTCTCCATGTTTTCTGTTTTGATGCATTTTTGAGACAGGAAGATTTGGTCAAGGTTTGGTGGCTACTACTTAATAGCAGCTCCAAAGGAGCCATCTATTTAAAAGTGTATTTGATTTCCAAGTCACGAATCTTAATAAAGCTGCTTAAGAATTTTTTATGACATAATCAGAAAATAAATGAAAGTGGTTTTTCTCAGATGTTTACAAAAAGATTTTAAACATATGTCTTGATCTTAAACTGCACCATAAATCAAAGCATGTAAGGTGCAAATACCAAGAAAAAATTACTTGCAGGACCAACATATTGGTTTATTAAAATCTTTAAGTATTTTAATGGAATTTGCACTCAAAATCTGCAGACAGTCACAGTTTTAATTCTAAAAGTCAGGGAATACTGTCATAAAAGTATCATAAAAAATTCCTGTTTTTTCCTTTGCCTGATCACAGGGTGACTGACAGCCTGTGCTGACCAACACAGGCTGCTCTGGCAGTCACCAGGCAGTGCAAGAGCCCATAATGCAGCCACTACAGACAAGGGTGTTTGCAAGTATTTCAGGTCTTCCTAAAATTATATGGCAGGCCAGGAAAAAGAAAACCCTGAAAAGCAGAATCTTTATGATCCCTTTCATCCCAGCTTTACTATGAAAAACTACAGGAAAGGTAAAATTTTGGAATTTGAGATGACATCATCTGATTGCAGAGCACAGCAACAAACAGTTGAATCATTCTTTTCACTTAGAAGCTACTTTCACTTTAATATCACTGCTAACAACTTCCATTCACGATGGCAATGAATGACTGTTTATCTCATGTACATTCTTCTACCCTGTTTAATTCCTAAATTCATAAAAATGAAAGCCTGACTATGTAATAATAGTTATGTGTGGCTATGTTGTGAGTTCTTTCAATTGACAAGCTTTCAAATTACGTGTTTCTATTGTTTTCTTAAATTTTTGTTTTTACTGGATGCAAACTATGATTGCTTTATTAAAAACAAGGGTTGCAAGTGCTGCCATACTGCTACTATCCCATATAGGGGAAAAAAAACCAACTTATATGCAAAACAGAATACTATGTTCTGGATTTGCTTTTTATTTGCTACATGTGCATGTTGTTTGCTGAAGTAAAAGAAATTGAATAGGAAAAGCCTTCTGTTGAATCTGTCCTGGCCAGACTTGATGCTCATGCCACAAGGAATATCTTCTCAGTGAGTGGCCCCTTTGAAATCAAGCTTAAATCAAGCAAAGTGGCCCCTTTGAAACTCTGCCCCATAGAGCAAACCTTTTTCTGTATGGAGTAAGCACAGCAAAGTTGCAGGAAATCCATCTCATGACATTTTAGGATGTCATGAGATGGACTTCCTAAAATGAACATGCTATAGTTATGACCAATGCTGACAGCTTGCCCTTGCCCCTCTGAGTCTTTCCATCCCCTCCTGGTCTTCCTGCAGTGGCAGAAATGTTTGTTAAACAACTGACAGACTGCAGAATGGGACTCTGGCTTACGGGACTAGTCCCACTTGCTTAAGCAGGACTCTGCTTCTGTGAGAAGTGGTTGGAGGAATTCATTGCCTGATAGGCTAATTCAGAAATGCAGACTGCAGGCGTGTGGGTTTGCGTGTAAGCATGAGCATGTCAAAGAGAAAGGGAAGTTCCCAGTGGGGTCACAAATCAGACTTTTGCCCTTTCTCTGACTCCTACCAGTCTATCTTCTCAGAGGCGAGACTTCTCCACTTTGGAAGAATATGTGACTGACTTCTTCACCCCCACACTTTCAGGATGAAACACCCACTGCTCCAACACTGCAGTTAGGTGCAGGGTTGCAATGCTGGGTTGAGAGGCAGGCTTACATTTGGAGCTGAAAAGCCCCTACCCCCTCCTCATTGCAGAGTGCTGCTTTGGCAGTGGGCTGGGTCCATACCACGATTCTGAGCCCAGGTCTGTGCCTGAGATCAAGTCCAAACATTTCTGGTGGCATCAGAATAGGAATGACAGCCTGCTCTCAAGGCTCCAGGGGAAAAAAGCCTTAGTGTCAACATTCTCCTTGGAAGGCAGGTAAGGGCACTCACCTGCAGTGAGAGGGGCTGGCTATTGCTATCTCTGTCTACAACCAAGCTGTGGAGCCAAAGTTTTTCCAGGGAGGAGTCCCATATCGCCACTGTAACTTGAGGAGTGTCTGCCTGAAAACTTTACAAAACAAGGTGGGAATTCACAGCCAGGCCATTGGGTCTCCTGAGGAGCAGCATGGCAGGCAGGGCTGGCTATGGACTCTGGGTTACGTCTGCCTCCTGGAGCAGCAACTTAATGTCACTAGAGCTGCCACTGCATATTCAAAGAATGAAACAGGCTAAAACATTGAAAAATGTTTTAAGCATCCCATGGAAAGCTTTCTGCTGCATAAAGATAAAAGAGGAAACCTCTTCCTATACATTTTCAAATACTTGGTAAATGACAAAAATACTGAGGCATTTTAGTAAGATCAACCTACACTAAAACTAAACTCTACACAGAGTGGATTGTTGTTGTATTTTATGTATTGCAACCAGCACCCTTCAGCTTACAGGTGAGAGAAAGCTTATGCCAATCTAAGGCATACATAATCCTTTTTGGAAACAAATACCAATTATTTCTCAACTGTTATTTCTCCATTAGGTCAATGCCAAACAATGCAAAAAATTATGTAGACTTGACAGTGAAACAGGAAGAGACCTAACACTTTTCTTCACTGAAAGGCTTTAATAAAATGCCACATAAAAAGCCTGTAGCTCTCTCAAACAGGAAAAAATATCCATGCTGAATATGTAGTGTATTTATTTTCATAAGCAAATGTATACTAATTCAGACCCTAAGACTAGAACAAATTTTTTAAAAATCAAGCAACTCTAACTCTCCTCCTTTGAACTCTTGAATCTTTCCACCTAACATAAAAAACACTCAGTAACTTCAGAAAAGCTATGAAAAGAGCATGTTGCAATAGTTGCAGGGTGTGTATGTGTGTGTGTGGCACAGACAAAAGTGTATTTCTATTGCTTATTTCCATTATGACAGAACTCAACAAAGTGCCAGGCTCTCTCCAAACCAGTGTCAAAAAACAGATTCTGCCAAAACAACATGAAAGAAATGTTGTAAAGGTTGCATTGTATTCCTTAAAAGTTAGGAAATATCAGAAGCTGGGATACCAGTAGAACCTTAATTCAACCCTTCTGTGCATATCCATTATGACCCAGTCTTTAATTACATGATCACATACCCTTTTTCTTTATTTTTCCTCCCTAGGGCCTCTGCTTCATTTCAAGTATCAGATGGGCTGAATAAAGCAGTTCTTAAGTATTTACATTTATCTTCTTCAGTACCCTGCCATTAATGTATCACTGAGCATCTTGCACTATTAAGCAAGGAAACTGCCTCCTCTGGGTCTGGAGCTGCAGAGACAGGAGTAGACAGCTGGGAGCTGGCCAGAGAAAAAAGAACCACTTAGTATATCCCAAAATGTGGAAGCACTGGAAAAGTTCAGAGTGGCATGATAGACCAGTGAAATGTGCTGGCAGCTGGCAGGCAGCTAAGCTACAAAACAGCAACAGGCTACGGTGTGCTAGCCTGTTTGATGCCCTCCATCACAGTCCAGTCAAGAAAAGCTGACTTTGCTTGATGCCACGAGCTGCATGCCAAAGTCTTCCCATCAATTAAGGGCCTGCAGGCTGTAAAGATGAGGATCTTTGGGAGAATTTCACAGGCTAGAAATGGCAGCAGCTCCTTTGCTGTCCTGCCTAGCACCGAGATGGAAATGGACTTGCCTGGACTGGGAAAACAGCATCAGCAGCTCCAGTCACCTTGTTCACACCCATGGATAAGGATGAGATCCTCCTGGCAGGCAGCTCAAGCCTTGGCCTTGAAGTTACACTTGAGCAGCTTGCTGGCTGCAAGCAATGAACACCAAGGCAGTTCATTCCTTACCAGTGGACTGGATCTGTATGCACAGCATTTTACCCTTCCCACAGAGAAAACTTTGTCACATGCTGCTACTATTTGGAATCAATAGGAGCTATGAAAACTGACTGCTGAAGAGTCCTGAATGTATTGACTTTGCAAGAGATTTGAGAGGAACTCCTTGATGGTACAGAATTTTTCTTTTTTTTTTTTAAGATAGAAAAAAGCTTAAAAAGGACATTTTAAATTTCTCCCCCTCTCAGTGAGTGTGACATGAAGTACATGTTGCCACATGATGTTCTTAGAATCATCAGTCAAAGGGGATGATTCAAATTGGAACAGGCTTGCTGTCTGTGGCAGTTATGGTGGGAACAGCTTTTTAAACCTCATGTTGTGGGGTGCTACTATATGTGACCACTTACTTACTTGAGAGTTTCTAAAACTCCTTCTGAGCATTTGATTCTGGATGGAATTCTGTAGAAGAGATGAGAAAGTGGCCCAAATAAAAAAAAGCTCAGGTCCAGGCAAAGGTGGCACACATTGTATTATTTTTTGCTGTTTTTTTGAAGTATTTTGTTGTATTTTGAAGTAATTATTTTATTGTAATTGTGATGCTCAAACATCACTTTTGCCCAAGGTAAATGGCAGTTTCCAGTAGGATGGTGGGCCTTGCTGTGAAGGGGGAGAGAGGCATCTGCCGTTCAAGGTTTAAAGAACACAGCACTTTCCAACCTATGAACGGAGCAGAAATGGCAGCTCTGGACATACCTCACATGTACCACAGAAGCACTAATAAAGGATGGCTGGCACCTAAGGAGCACAAGCCAGGATGGCAGCTCTTCCCTTCCCATAGAATGGAGGGTTGGCTCATGATTATTAATGTAAATACTCAGAAGTTGGTAGGGGGAAAATGGATGGGACTGTGCTCTAAAACCCACACCAACATTTTTAGTATGCAGTAAAGCTGTGAGTTTGAGCTCTCCCGATTATCTTTTTAAGGTGCTTTGCACATTTCCCTTGTGTATAGAGTCAATGAGAGTCCCCTGAGGCTGGGGACTAACATAGGATAGATCCCGTGTGCAGAGAAAAGAATAAAAAGCACTATAAAGTTACATTTCTCACACCAGATAAGCAGAAAAAACCCGATTGCTTTCGTCTTTTATTCAAATTATTCCACACACGTATTTTTTATAGATTATATTAGTGAATTATTTTCACTGAAAAAGAAATCATATGTTGTGTGTGCCTTTGTTGTTGGGCTAATTTCTGATGGCTGACTGTAAGAACTGTACATGCAAATATCAGGCATCAGGCTGTACCTCACTTGAAGCTTGGCAAGGGGGCAGGGCACAAAGCCTTGGGAAAGAATAAGGTTTCCTATCAAAGAAGCTTGACTTTTGTGTTTTTTAACAAAACCAAAACAAACTAACCAAACATAAATCTTCTGCCGGTTTTTTTTCTCTCCCCCTTTTTTTTAGCAAAAAGGGAGACAGAGCACTGGAGGGCTCAGACAGACGCTCTTCTTAGCAGTCACTGGCTGATACATCACTCACCGCAAAGGTTTTGTGACGGGACACCCGGGACAGTGAGATGGGGAAGGCGCGGGGAGCACGGGGAGCGTGC